TCCAGGAGCTTTAGGACCCGGTATCAACAAAGATAAGAAGCAATATGGTTGCTTCATGCACATACAAGGTGGTAGGTTATACACAGTAATAATCACTGGCCAAGTGCTATGAGAAACACTTAAATTACCAAAAGGATTTATCCCGTCAGATGATAATCCAAGTCTAACATTACGAGGATCTCTAGCAAAACCCGGATTAGATGCATCAAAATGTTTCCACGCATCGGAGTCAGCTGGATGTCTAAGAACCCCATCTTTCAAACGCTGATTATGATGCCATGTCATATCTGAAGCTATTTCTGATGACATAAATAACCTTTGCAATCTTGGTTTTAAGGGGAAATAGCGTAAAACTTTTCGAGGAACTTTGTTTTTATTCTTTCCTGGCGTTTCCCCATTAGTTTTTTGACCTTCAACTGATTTCAACCTAGACTCACCACAAACCAAGCAAGATTCTGCTTTTGCATTATGTTTCCAAAATAACATGCAGTCATTTTCACAAGCATGTATTTTTTCATAACGAAGACCTAAATTTCGAATCAATTTCTTTGCTCCATAGAATGATTCTGGTAAAGTTTCACCAGAGGGAAGAGCTCGTTTAATTAGCTTCATTATGCTATCAGTTGCTTTATCACTCAATCCAAAAAGACACTTAATCTGGAACAGTTCCACGATCAGTGACAACTTGGAGAATTGCTCGCATCCAGGATAAAGTTGTTGTGCAGCATCATCCAACAATTTAGAAAATTCAAAATCAGGTTCTGAGGTATCAACTTGTTTACGCTTAACCCCACCAGAATAATCCATGATATTAGGGCCAGCAGCATCATAAATCATATCAAATATATCATTATCCTGCTCATTTCGTACTTCCTCTTGTCTTAATTCATCATTGTTAGTTCTTTGCTCTTTAGATGCAAATTCTCCATGATAAAACCAACGAGTGTACCCCTTGACTATTCCAAAAATTATTAAATGTTCCCTGACGTCATCTCTAGTCTTATGGAAAACATTGTTGCATTTCTTACAAGGACAAGGAATTTCACCTTCTAGTTCTGTATGCTCAAAAGCAAATTGAAGAAAATCATCAACTCCTTTTAAATACACATTGCTCAATTTATCGGTGCAACGCATCCAAGTCTTGTCCATTTCAAATTTCCTACAAAGAAAAGAATAAGATCAATATGCATCAAAAAGAAAAAGATCCCAGATTTGCAAGAGTTAAGCACAATCAGTATTCTAAAGCCCAAACATTGAACTTTCAGCTAGAAATAAACGGAAGACAGAGACTTCTGATTTTAAGAGACATTCCCTTCGCTTTTCTTTTTTCTTTTCCTTCTCCAGCAACGCTACATAAAATGCCATAAAAATGGTGGAGATCCAAGAAGTTTCGCCGACGAGGCATCTCCATTATTACCAAATTCAAACCCAAACCCGAACCCGACAAATATGACTAGGTACATACGAATATTCTCAAGATTTTGCAAGCTTTGTTTGTCTCTTAGTTTCTGTAGTTACTAGATTCAAGTATAACAACTCATTCCAATATTTTAATCCAGCGAAGTACATATCCCTTTGTTCTCCATCTGTTTGGATACTTTTCGTTATGGATTCGAATTCTCTAATTGCAACTACAATTTTACATGGCAAAGGAACATCCATCTGCTATTCTATTCTTAAAAAGAAAAGCAATAAGAAAGACACTTCAAAGACAAAATTAAACTTACTTTTGATGTCGCTCAATGATGCCAGATGAGAAATGAGAATGAGGTTAAACCTTTAGCTTTGAGAGAATTTTTTGGAAGAGGCCGTTTAGGGATTTCTTGATAAGATCCAAAAATGTGACCAAAATTGAGGGATTTCCTAGTATACACTTTAGTCCCAATACTTTATACTATATGTTTATGTTGTTAAAAATTATTTGATTCAAATTTGTTCTATCAGAACAATACCTTTATCAACCAAGTGTAATTAGAAGTGTTTATAGTTCGATTCAATTCAATTTTACAGGGTTTCACCGGTAAGTTTCAAGTATCTTCATTAGAAATACTCAAAGTATTCTAGCATGAGTAGCAAACTACAATATATTGAATATGTGTCACGACCCAAAATCTCACCATAAGTGTCGTGATGGCACCTAGTCTCTAAGACTAGGTAAGCCTATTATAATAACAATTCAAGCCATTTTTTTATAATCGAAACCAACAACGGAAATAAATATACAACCTCCCAAGACTGGTAGTACTAAGTCACGAACTCTAACTAAACACATGAAATGATCTGAAGGAAATTAAATATACAATACTGCTCGAATAATAATTGACAGTACGATAAAAGGGAAAGACTCCAAGGTACTCGACGACCAAACAACTCTACCTTGAATCCTTGCGATCATACCCTAACTCTGTCCGAGTCCTGTATGCCCAGCTGCCTTCTTTCGCTTCTGCGTTGCCAACATCGATGCTACGTTTTAAAACATCGCACCTGTGATTGCGCAGGTGCGGAAGGTTGTCCGTATGTGCGANGTCACGATCCAAAATCTCACCATAAGTGTCGTGATGGCATCTAGTCTCTAAGACTAGGTAAGCCTATTATAAAACAATTCAAGCCATTTTTTTATAATCGAAACCAACAACGGAAATAAATATACAACTTCCCAAGACTGGTAGTACTAAGTCACGAACTCTAACTAAACACATGAAATGATCTGAAGGAAATTAAATATACAATACTGCTCGAATAATAATTGACAGTACGATAAAAGGGAAAGACTCCAAGGTACTCGACGACCAAACAGCTCTACCTTGAATCCTTGCGATCATACCCTAACTCTGTCCGAGTCCTGTATGCCCAGCTGCCTTCTTTCGCTTCTGCGTTGCCAACATCGATGCTACGTTTTAAAACATCGCACCTGTGATTGCGCAGGTGCGGAAGGTTGTCCGTATGTGCGACCTTGCTCCAGTTCTGCCCAGGTTGCTTCAAAAATCTTCTATTTTCAAACTTTCGCCAAAATTCGCTGAATTGCCCTACGGACTTCCAAATCCAAATCCAAACATGCGGCTAAGTTGAAATCACCATACGAAGCTGTTGGCATCATCAAAATTCCATTACGGGGTCGTTTGCTTAAAAGTCAAATCTCCGGTCAAAATTAAGAAATCTTTAGCCTTAGATTTCTAGATTCACTTAAATAGTGATAATCTAAGTTAGGGATCTCCGAATTCAATTCCGGGCATACACCCAACTCCCAAATCACGATACGGACCTAACGGAACTGTCAAAATACTTATCCGAGTCCGTTACTCAAAATGTTGACCGAAGTCAACTCAGTTGAGTTTTAAGCTCTAATTATACGGACTGCGCATGCAAGTCGAGAAATGATTAATAGCGATTTTCAAGGTCTTAAAACATATAAATGATCATTTAATTTAAAAATGACATTTTGGGTCATCACAATATGTTTCCTTTCATATAATTCAGATTTATCTTTTTGAATATTTAACCTCCTATAGAATTTATTCTTGAGTCCCAGCTTGGTTAATATCTTTCCACTCGTGTGATTTATATTTTTTCATCTTTGCTTGGTTTCTTTTACGTTGTTGCAGAATAGCTGATGTATGTTTACTCTAGCCATCTTTTATTTTATTTTTTACTTTATCATCCTTTAAACAATAAAAATATTTAGAGAGTTTTGTTAGTATAGTGGACGAGTAAAAGTGAACGAAGGAAGTATTAAATCTTTTTCTTATTAAACTAGCTAGGTAAGAAGTCCAAATATTTAGATATTTGAAATTGATTAATATTTTAACTTATGTGAATTGAACTAATTGAGAAATAAATCCGTTTTACAATACTTATAAAATCAATATGAGAAAGATTTTATAGGGTGCCTACAATTGATTTCTTATTGACTCGAAATATGGGACATACAATCACATATTAAGTTAAATCTAAATTAAAATAGTTTCAACACAATAATTAAATATGCATTCTAATTTTATTATTCTAATCATACAAAAGAATTAACCCACGTTAAATTTAGCACCAAAATAATTTGATAGCCTCCAAAGTAAAAATGAAAGATTCCCTCCACATTTTTATCCATGTTAAATTTAGCACCAAAATAAATTGATAGCCTCCAAAGTAAAAACGAAAGATTCCCTCCACATTTTTCCCTCTAAATATTTTGTCCTAAATCAAAGCCTACTTTTCTATTAAAGAGATTAGGGAGAATAAACTAAAATCACGTCACTTTTCTATTAGAGAGATTAGAGAGCAAAAAACCCTAAAGCACTAAACTCACAAAAGAAAACCAAGAACGGAGGGTTAGGATTTTTTTTTTTACTTATCTTGTCATCCCTAGAAGCAAATGTTCTATTTTCTTTCTCTGTCTCAGTCCCACTTTCAACCTTTAAATTTCAATTATTTTGTCTGATTTTGTAGATTTTGACTACTTTTATTGTTCTTAAATTATCGGCATATATTACCTTTTGTTACTTTTTGGTTCAATTTTATTAAGAATTGAATTCCCGGTGATTGCTTTTTGTGAGACCTTAAAAATAAGAAATTTACATCTTTTTCTGTGTTACTTTCAAACTCATTGAAAAAGATGTGGTTATATGATGGGTACAGATATTTTTAAAAGTTCTAAACTTTTTTGCTACATATTATATTTTTTAATTGAGTTATTTGATTTTTTAGTGTTATGATTTATCGGCATTCGTAGTTGACTTGCTTTGCTCAAATTTATTTTCTTTATAACTTTATCTAATTTGATAAAATTTACATTTCGAGGATTTATTCAATTGTTAAAGTTGGTACTTAGTACTTATAACAAAGATGATGATGATGATGTATTTTAGTGTCTTACAAATTCTTGTTTGTAATCAGACATGGGTAGGAATGATCTTTGGAAAAGAACTAATCGCATAACTGATAATCATGAGCCGGAAACTGTTATGAGTTCTAAGAAAGGATCTATTACTCAAAACTTGCTCACGCAACATGCAGAAGAACTTGTTTATCCAGGTAATTCCAATATAACTATTATGCAATATTGAATTTATTATTAAATCTTTTTTTAATTAGATAAATTTGTATCTTTGTTTAATCTTATCTAGCTAACTCATGTATCTTCAATAATTTGTTAGGAAGCATGGACATGATAAGGGAGAAAGAAATTAGCTATCATTATGGTGGCCATTTTATATTTTCCCCTACTAGAAAATATGTAGGTGGACATTTAAAGAAAACAAATATTGATGTTGATTTCATATCTTTCTTTGATTTGTTGGACGAGTTAAAAGAGCATTGTAATTTCAATATTTGTGAGGGAGACAAGTTCTTTTATTTGAGAGGTGATAAAATTATTAGTGATTATGATGGGCTAGTTGAATGTCATGACGATCAAGATATTAAGAACATGCTTGTCAGTTATAAAATGCATAAAGAAAGGCCTATTGAGATTTATACACTGCTGAAAAATGATATTTTTATGAGTACTTCTCTTGGAGAAAATAGTTCTAGGGGTAATGAGTCTGAAAAGGTGATGGAAGCAGAAGAACATGAATCAACAAATTCAACAGGTAATCATTATTTGTATTGATCTTAATCACATATATCGATATTTTTACTTGACGTTATTTATTTAATCTTCTAGGTTCCAACGCTGTGAAAAGAAAACTAGAGGTCCTACACAGTGTGTAGAAATAATTAATTTACAGGAGGGACAAAAACTATCAGTAGAATTTGATGAGGATCATCAGGCAATTGGTAAGAATGCAAGCAAATTAATTTGATTTTTGGGCCAAACAGTTAGAAGCCGAACTTGTTGCCCTTTAAAGGTAAATAGTTGGAAAGAGATTGAGCAAGATAAGATCAACCATATGTAGGACATCGTTTTGGTACGAAAAACTAACAAGCTAATAACTCTATAATATTTTATAATTTCTTATCGATTAACATTTACTAGAATATATGATCATAAACTATGATGGTATTTATTTCTTACAGGAGAAGTTTAATTTTGATGTGTCTGAGGGAAGAAAAAGCGCAATTCTTGGTAAAATGAGTGACCTCTATAGAGACTATAGGTACAAGTTGAAGAAGAAGTATTTTGATTCAAAAGCAGGTTACCAACTTCGCCTACGCAACAAGCCTAAACTTGTTGCCGCAGATGAATGGAAATATTTGGTCAATCTTTGGAGTGATGCCGACTTTCAGGTATTTAAATTGTAAATTAAATTTTTTATGCTTTTATTATTATTATTATTATAGTTTCATAGTTTGATGATCTCAAATAATTTATATAATTCTTCAGTCCGTCTCAAATTTTCTTTTTTATTCACTTTCGGATGAATATCATTTTGATATCCATTTTGAAAATACGAGAACTTCTTCTTCTTTTTTCAGATTGAAGGGCATATTAAGCTCTCTTTCCTCAATAACTAATTATTTTAATTCTTTTTAATTTTTATTCAGAAGAAGAGTACGCAGAATAAGACAAATAGATCGAAACGTTCCTTGCCACCATATATTGGGACCAAAAGTTATGCAAGACTAAGATACGAAATGGTATGAACACTATAATAATATTTTTAGAACGAATTTAGAAGAATTATATTCATATATTTTATTCTATTATTGATACCGATTATTTTTTTGCAGAAGCAAAAAAATGGAAAACCTCCTTCCCGTGTTGAAGTTTTTATGGAATCTCGCAAGAGAAAAAAAGGAAAACAAGTTTGATGCTTTTCAACAAGATGTTATTGTAATGTTGATATATTCTCTTTTCTTTTTTTAAAGTATACATTGGTACATATATGTAATTGATTTGCATTATTTGATTGTACGTTCAATTCGACCAATTTAAAAAGCAGCAAAAAGAAGGAGAAATTTCTTTAAATGATGATGATATCTTCGAAAAAGTTCTTGGGGCTGAAAAAAATGGATATCTTCGTGCATATGGACCCGAAAAAAATATCAGTGAATATTTTGGTGGTAGACCAACAAAAGTACAGCTTATAAAGCAACTAGAATTGACCAGAAAAGAAGCAAATGAGCGTGTGGAAGAAGTTAAAAGAGAAGCTAAGGAACAAATTAAAGAAATCAAAAAAGATATGAATGAACAACACAATGAGAAGAAAAATTACGAATGATACTTGCAGCACAAGGTCTACAACAAAATGATGCAATCTAACGGTATGTAACTTAGACTTTTATTAATATCTTTTTTATATTAATAAATTAGTATATATGCGATTCTTTAAGGTAGTATTCATATTAAAAATAAAATTTAATTGTTTTATATAAAAATGCTTCATTGTATCATTTAGTTTTTTACTTTTTTTCTATTGTTATTGCAGCTTGTGGAGGACTTATAAAAGCATCAAGGTCACTAGGCACATGAATAATGTTTTTCCTCTTGTCAAAGCTTATTGATATGTTTCAAATGATGTTTTAATATTTGAATTGATATTGTTGAACCTTTGTTAAATCTTTTTACTAATAAATTGCATTTATTACGTAATTGAAGAAGATTTATGCTACATTTGCCTATATGTTTCATTGCCAAAATTTGATTGTATTCCTAAATAGGCTTTATATGAAATATTGTGGCTAATAATGGTTGTGGAAATTTTTTTTAGTTAGTAGCAATGAAATTTTTAAATTTGTAGCTACACACACAAATATATTTCCATATAATAAGAACATGGCTATACATTTTTTCATAGCAAATGAAGAAAATTTATTGCTACAATTTTATGCTTCATGGCAAAAGAAAATGGAATCTTAGCTATGGAATTTTGAATTCGTAGCTAAACATATACTCCTACAATTGCCACACATCAAAAACATGACTATTTATTTTTACTTTCCGTAGCAAATGAATAAAATCTTTTGCTATAGTTCTATATATTTCATGGGTGAAAGTATGGAATTTTAGCTACAATATGAAAAGGTTTATGACAAATGCTTCAATTCATAGCTAGGAATTTTTAAGTTGTAGCTAAAGATGAGTACTATTGCCACGAGACTAGGCTATAGAAATAGCCACAAAATTTGAGTTTGCATAGCAAATAAATTTAGTCTTTTTGCTACAATACAAAATTTCGTAGCTATAATATGAAGATTGCTACAAATTTTTTTTGTCGTGGCAAAGGAATAAAATCATTTGCTATAAGTATATTTTTCGTAGCAAAAAGCTTCTACAATCATAGCTACAACACACAAAATTTCTGTAGCAATAAGTATTATTCCTTAGCCACAGACCATGTAAAGTCTGTAGCTAACTTTTAGCTACGCTACATTTTGCTACGAATGCTACGGAAAAAAATATTATGGCTAAAGTGTTTTGCCACGAAAATTTTTATATTTAGCTACAATATTTTTCATAGCTATAGATGTGTAATGTTGTAGTGAGAAAATCTCTATAGATATGTCTAGTTTCTCTTCTAGACAAGACATTCTTAAAGCAGCTCAAGAGCAAAAAAGCAGGAATCAGGAAGAGGCTGTGAATGAGCACAAAGATGTGCATAATGAGATTATACACAGTAGAAGAAGCCTTGAGAGAGGTAAATCTGTGACTTATAGTGGAAGTGAGCTTTCTTCCTCCAATGACAAACCCTTTGATTTTGGTAACCTAGCTTCTTCTAGTTCTAATGGGGTTAATAACTATGTTATACCTGTTAGTGTTGTTGTATCTGCTGGTTCATCAATTGTTGGTAACCCCCTCCTAAATTCCCAAGCTACTGTGAATTCTCCTTCAGCTTCACAGACTTCACAACCCTCTCTAAATGTTAATCCTCCACCACAAACTCATACTATCAAAATACCGTATCTACAACCCACTCTATTTTAAAGCCACAACCCTCACCATATCCAAACCCCACCTCCTAGAACCTTGTTCCAACCATAGCCTTTTGCTCATCCAAACAACCTAAGTAGGTACTACCAGCCTACTCAACCTCAGATGCAGGGAGCACCCTTGGGTGTAGCACCTCTGATCAATACTTACAACACACACACTCAGTTCTCACATGCCTTTTATAACCAAGACACACACTTCACACCCCCAATATACCATCAAGCACCCTATGTACCCACCATTTATTCACACCAAAATGCACCAGCTCCTAATCAATATCAGAGCCCTTAGTATAATCACACTGCTCCTCTACCCAACATACTTTTTACCAAATATCATAAGGTGAAAATTTTCAAGTTTAATGGGGAGGATCTTAGAACATGGTATATAAAGTGGAGCAATTTTTTTGCTGATGAAGACATCACAATCCAACAGAAAATGAAGTTGGTATCTGTGCATTTTGAAGGAGATGCCTTGTAGTGGCATCTAGGATACATGAGGAGTAGGGGCAAATGCCACTTCCAACCTGGGAAGAATACTTATGGGCTCTTTGTGATAGCTTTGGAGCTGAGTACTCTGATCATATGACTGAACTGATAAATGTGAAGCATACAGGACTATCAGAGGGCATTTGTTAGTGTGATGACCAGGATTAACTTATCCACTAAGCATACCATTAGTATCTTCTTGAACAATTTGAAACCTGAACTCAACAATGCTGTTAAGGTTGAGAATCCAAGTAGCTTACCTCAAGCATACTACTTAGCCAGATTACAAGAGGCCAAATTTGCTGCTCAAAGCAAGGCCATCAAGGGCTCTTCTGCAGCTCACTCAGTGTTTAGGGGTGAACCAAATCAAGGAACTAAAGAAAATACAGTTTGATTCAAGACGCCTATTACTGTAACCTTTGACAACAACAGAAGAATGAGACTAACTCCAACTGAAATGGATGAGAAAAGAGCTCAAGGCTTGTGCTTCTTCTGTGATGATCCCTTTACACAGGGTATAAATGTAAGGCAAAGAGTCAAATTTACTATTTGGAACTAGAAACTGAGGTTCTGAAGGCAACTGAAGAACAAACTATAGAAGAAGAGGAGGCTGGAGAACAAAAATTAGTAGAAGACCTCATAGAATTGTGAAATTTCACTTCGGGCTTTAAATGGAACTAGAGGATACAAGACTCTCAGAATCCAAGGGTTCACTAAACAGAAGCCTATTAATGTCCCGATTGACTGTTGGTCCACACACAATTTCATCAATAAAGAAGTTGCACAGAGGATTGGTTACAAAATTAATCAAATCAGCCCCCAAGATGTTTTTGTAGCAGATGGGAGGATAATTCAATCATTGGAAGGGAGAAAAAACTTCCTATGGATAATGCATGGGGTGGTGTTCAAAGATGACTTCCTGGTACTCCCTATAAGAAGCTGTGATGTGGTGTTAGGCATACAATGGTTGTGAAAACTTAGGGGCATTCAGGTTAACTTTCAGAATCTCTTTATGAAGTTCATGTACCAAGACAAGATGGTGACACTGAAGGGATCAGTTCCTTCCTTTAAGACTCTTAATGCCAAGGCACTAAACGAACTTTCAGTGAACACTACCTAGATATTCATGATTAGAGTATGTGCAGGAGGATCCATGGAGGGTGATAAACTATAGCTCAAAGAAGAAAAACCTAAGGGGATTCAACAGTTACTTGGAGAGTTCAGAGTTCTCTTTAAGGAACCAAGCCAGTTACCTCTCTCTAAAGGGGTGTTTGATCACCATATTCCTCTATTGGAAGGTAGCACCCCTGTGAATTCTAGACCTTACAGGTATTGTTCTATACAAAAGAATGTAATAGTAAAATGGTGCAGGAAATGCTGAACCAGGGCATAATTCAATATAGCTCCAGCTCATATGCTTCCCCTGTGTGCTAATGGGAAAGAAGGATGGCCCTTGGAGATTATGTGTGGACTATAGATAAGGTGACTATCAAAGATAAGTTCCCAATTCCAATAATTGAAGAAATGATAGATGAGCTAGGAGGATCCAAGGTTTACTCTAAGATAGACTTGAGAGCAGGATACTATCAAATTAGGATGGCCACACCTAATATACATAAAACAGCCTTCAAGACTCACTCAAAGCATTATGAGTACTCAGTGATGCCTTTTGGACTAACTAATGCACCCTCCAGCTTTCGGGGATTGATGAACCACATCTTTCAAAAACACTTGAGAATATTCATTCTAGTATTTTTTTGATGATATTCTTGTTTTTAGTCAAAACCTAGAGGAGCATGTACAACATATTAGGATCACTTTTGATCTGTTAGTGCAACATCAACTGTTTTCTAAAGAAAACAAATGTGTTTTTGCAGCTGAGGGGATTGAGTACCTGGGGCACTACATTTTTGCTGAAGGGGTAGGCACATACCCAAAAAAGGTGAAGTTGTACAATCATGGCCTCTACCTGCTAACCCCAAATAGTTGAGAGGATTCATAGGTTTGGCAAGGTACTATATGAGGTTTATAAAGGGTTATGGTGTCATTAGCAAACCTCTAACTGATCTGTTAAAGAAAGATAATTTTAATTGGTCTAGCAAGACTATTGGGGCCTTTGAGGAGCTCAAAAAGGCTTTGACATCTGCCCTAGTACTGGTACTACCTGATTTCTCTCTACCTTTTGTAGTGGATACTGATGCCTGCAGTCTAGGAATTGGAGCAGTTCTCGTGCAAAAGGGACAACCTATTGCCTATCTTAGTAAAGGGTTATCTCCTCAGCATTAATCACTCTCAATATATGATAAAGATTTACTGGCTCTAGTCATGGCAGTGAATAAGTAGGCTCAGTACCTAACTGGGAGACCTTTTACAGTAAAAACTTATCAAAAGGCCCTCAACTTCCTTCACGAAAAAAAGCTACACACAGGATCTCAGCTGAAGT